ACCCTTAGGTACTTCTGATCACGGTTTGATCTCTCTAAAACTATTATCAAACTCTTCTACTTCATCAGAATCCCCCTATCATCGTACCACGTACAACTACCTTAAAGCTGACTGGGACTCTTTCCGTGATTTTCTTCGTGATGGCCCTTGGGTAGAAATCTTTCGTCTTCCAGCTGATAAATGTGCTTCTTACATAACTTCGTGGATTCAGGCTGGCATGGAATCTTTTATTCCCTCTCGACGATTCCAGGTCAAGCCTCACTCTTCTCCTTGGTTTTCCTCACATTGCGCTGCAGCAATTTCTAATCGAAACCGTTACTTCCATATCTATCAGCAAAACAATTCTCCAGAAAACAGACATCTGTTCACTATCGCCAGAAACCATTGTAAAAAGGTTTTGTCTGACGCCAAAGCTCGCTATTCTCAGGTCATTAAATCTCGTATCTCATCACAAAAATTAGGCTCTCGAGACTTCTGGAGAATCTTTAACAGTATCAATAATAAGGGCAAATCTGTTATTCCTTCTCTCTTGTATGGTTCAGACTTTGTCACCTCACCTAAAGACAAAGCTGAATTGTTTGCTAAGAACTTTTCATCAATATCATCTCTTGATTCCACTAGTTGCGTTTTACCTGACATAGCTGTCAAACAGGTTGATCCCTTGCTTGACATTCGCATCACTGCAGCTTCTGTATCAAAAGTAATTTCCTGCTTAGACTCTTCAACAGCTTGTGGTCCTGACAACATTCCTGTTGTAGTCTTGCAGAGGTGTTCTCCGGAGCTTTCATCCATACTTTCAAAACTATTTAACAAGTGCTTATCAGAGTCTTGTTTTCCATCATGCTGGAAAGCAGCATCTGTTATCCCTATTTTCAAAAATTCTGGAGAGCGATCTGATTCATCTAACTACCGTCCCATTAGTCTTCTTCCTGTCATAAGCAAGGTTTTTGAATCTTTAATCAACAAACACTTAATCTCTCATCTTGAATCAAATAACTTACTTTCTGATCATCAATATGGATTTCGGTCTTCTCGTTCTACAGCTGATGTGCTAACAGTAATAACCGATAGGTTTTACCGTGCATTAGATAGAGGTGGAGAAGTTATGGCTATCGCACTTGACATATCTAAAGCTTTTGATAAAGTTTGGCATGCTGGTCTTCTCCATAAGCTTTCTTCTTATGGTGTAGCTGGTAACATCTTTAAGATTATTGAGTCCTTTCTTTCCAATCGTAGTATAAAAGTTGTCCTCGATGGACAACACTCTTCTTCACATCCTGTAACTTCAGGGGTTCCTCAAGGTTCAATCCTTGGCCCTATACTCTTTTTAATTTACATTAACGATCTTCCAGATATTCTCACATCTAAGGTGGCATTATTCGCTGACGACACTACCATTTACTCTTGTCATGATAAGAAGCCTACACTCTCTGATTGCTTGGAGGGGGTATCTGAGCTTGAAAAGGATCTCACTTCTGCTACAGCATGGGGCTCACAGTGGCTGGTGAACTTTAATTCAGATAAAACTCAATTTTATTCAGCCAATCGTTATCGTAATAATTTAGATCTTCCTATATTTATGAATGGTAATGTACTAGATGAGTCATCTACCATTCATCTTCTAGGATTAACTCTTACTTCTGATCTTTCTTTTAAACCGTATATCAAATCCATTGCAAAATTAGCATCTGCTAAGGTTGCATCTCTTTATCGAGCTAGACACTTTCTTACTCCAGATTCTATTCTCTATCTCTATAAATCTCAAATCCGTCCCTGTATGGAATACTGTTGCCACATCTGGGGCGGATCTTCTAATGATGCTCTTTCTCTTTTAGACAAGGTGCAAAAACGAATTGTAAACATAGTTGGACCTGCTCTGGCAGCCAATCTCCAACCTTTATCACATCGTCGTAATGTTGCTTCTCTTTCTCTTTTCTACAAATACTATAATGGGCACTGCTCTAAAGAGCTAGCGTCCCTTGTGCCATCTACTAAAATTCATTCTCGTGTTACTCGCCATTCAATTAAGTCTCATCCTTTTTCTGTGACTGTTCCTAAGTGCTTCAAAAACTCTTATTCTTCTAGTTTTTTTCCTCGAACATCAGTTCTTTGGAATTCGCTTCCTTCATCTTGCTTTCCTGATTCATATAATTTGCAATCTTTTAAGTCATCAGTCAATCGTCATCTTGCTCTACAGATTTAGTCTTTTCTCTTCCAGTAACTTCCGACTCTTATAGTGGTTGCTTGCAGCCTTGTTGGAAGTGAAGATGTTAAAAAAAAAAAAAAAAAAAAAAATCTTAATAATGAAATACAGTTTTTAGTAAACATGTTTGCAGAAAATGGACACGATAGATTAAAGCTTGAAACAACTGCTAAGAACTATATTCACAAAAGAAATAACCTTTCTAAAATAAACTATAGTAAAACAGAAACAAGTAAATATACAGTTATTCTTCCATGGCTCTTAAGAATAGGTCCAAAACTTAGAAAAGAACTTAAACATTACAACGTCTGAATAATTTTTACTACACCACCTACAATAAAAAACATCTCATGCAACATTAAGTCAAAGTTAATTCCCAATAGCAATCACGGTGTCTACAAACTCACATGCTCTTGTGGCAGTATATATATTGGCAAAACAAAAAAGAAAATTTTAACAAAATGTATTGAACATCGAAAAAACTATTTTAAAAGTAAATGGGATGCATCCGGTGCAACTGAACACAGTAGAGAATGTAATGGTATGTTTGATTGGTCAATTCTGAAAACTCTAGCAATAAAATCAGAATTTGATGAACTTAAAGTTAGAGAATCACTTGAAATTTATTACGCCTCAACATACCAGGAAATAAAACACGCTTCTATACTTCTCAACTGTGACAATGACGTTAAAACTTCTACATACAGTGGGTAACCTTTTTTTAAAAAAATTATCTCAAAAACAGACTTAAACAATATTCTCTAATTATATATTTACGTTGTTATGTATTATTTATGGCTTCTTTTTATTGTCTTTTTTGACATTTCTATGTAATATTTGTAACAGTTTTTTGTATTATATTTTACATCTGATGACGATCTATGCAAAAACAGGTTGAAATATTACATAGAAAAAATTTAGTTTATATGCAGCTGTTGTTTTATGCTTTATATTTTAAATATGTATATATATATATATATATATATATATACATATTTAAAATATAAAGATATAAAATATATATTTATATATATATATATATATAAATAAAAATATATATATATATATATATATATATATATATATATATATATATATATATATATATATATATATATATATATTTTTATTTATATATATATATATATATATATAAATATATATATATATATATATATATATATATATTTTTATTTATATATATATATATAAATATATATATATATATATATATATATATATATATATATATATATATATATATATATATATATATATATATATATATATATATATATATATATATAAAGTATATATAAAGTACATATATATGATTTTTTTAATAGTATAATAGTATAGACAGTTGTATATAATTTTTTAAATTTATATTATATAAGTTGTTTAAGTATGCATTTTTTATAATAAACGTTAATAAAAAATAAAAAATTATTTTGTTTTTATAAACAATGACTTTTTACAACAATGAAAGTCTCTTTAATGAATTTTAATATAAGAATAATTAAAGTTAATACATTAAAAAAGATAAGCAAAGTTTTGTTGAAAAAAAAAGACAAATGTTTAAGAAAGCCCTTACAATTTAACAAGTTTGATCTTAAACGCTTTTATCTTATCGAAAAACCTTTTAATGAAGTAACAAAACACTTCTAATGAATTTTTATAATAAGTATTAATAAACTGTTTGTTTTTTTTATTTATATAATTATGTGCTTTTTATGATAAATAAAAAAATCTTTTATGACAAAGTAAAAAAAAAAAAAAGTTATTGTGTAATTATTTACTTGTTTACATTTACATAGAAACTGATATTTTTTAATTGGTAAAAAAAAAAAAAATGATTTAAATCAAGTGTGACATTTTAAACAATCTTTTAAAATAAACTATTCTTTTTATTTTAAGGGTTTCCGATAATATTATATAAACATTATTGAAGATAAAAAATTTTTCCCAACGTAATAAAAACATGATTTATATAAACTAAGCATTTTAGTTTGTTGAGTTTTGTTTTAGTTGGGTTTTCTCTTTTTTTAAATTTCTTTTTAGATAAATTTGAGTAAGTTTTTTAAGCGCATTTTTAAATTTTGAAAAATGCTTAATGCTCAAATTATCAAACAAAGTCTTTTTTGGGTGGTCATATAATTGCATATGATTGCACTTCTTCCTGTGAAACACTGATATATCTGATAATATTAATACGCTAATTTAATATTATTATTATTATTAGTCGAATTACGTCATTTTCTAGGCTTTTCTATTTTAAAGTAGTTTCTTGGCTTTTCTATACGCAGTTTTTTTTTTTAATTTTATTTACTCACAATGCGTATTACGGGTTGCTTACTTCTAGTATATATATATATATATATATATATATATATATATATATATATATATATATATATATATATATATATATATATATATATATATATATATATATATATATATATACATATATATATATATATATATATATATATATATATATATATATATATATATATATATATATATATATATATGTGTGCACTATTTATATGAGATTATTTATATGTATATGAACTATATTCTCAAAACTACTACACAAAATATACAAATCACATTTAAAATATATGCAACATATCTAGACAACATCCACTTATAAAAAATGTTTTACTTAATTTTAGGTATAAATACATATTCTTTAAGGTATAAAAATCTTTGTGTCTAACTAGGGGTGTATTTGCAAATATATTGACAAATAAGATGGACACAACTATTTATAAAAATATTTTATAACAACCTGCGTTTAATGTCAATAACTGTTTCACCAGCTCCAGACATCATCATTCCACCGCCTCTTTGCTGATCATAATTTGCTTCATCTGATGTAAGATGTGATCTGAAAAATGGAATAAAAAATTAGATAAACTTTTTAGTTTGAATTTTTAGCATGAAACTTTTAGTATTGTAAAAAATCAAAACTCAATATTCTTTAGAACTTCTTTATATATTCATATTATTACGAAGATCATGAAGAATAGTCAAATAACATTATTTCAAAGAAGAAACTAGTATTAATGTAAAATAATTTGAAAAGATTTCATGGATATAATGCAAAAGTAATAAACAGAAAAAATCTTTAAAAAGGTTAATACTAAAGTAAAAAACAAAGTATGCTGATTGATGTCAAAACTTAACAGTCTCTGCCACACGATAATACTTAATTTAGTTTTGCTAATAGCATTTGTTTCTGTAAATTTTTTTGTAACATAAGCTTATGATGTTAATTTTTAGTTTGCTTCTTGATCATGAAGATGAAAGCTTTTTACTTGAAGATGTCGGCTGTGGAAGTTGATGTTGCACAAAAAGTTGTCAAAGACTATCCAGATCTTTTCTATGAAACTTGTACCACAATAAATAAAATTGGTGGAGTCAAACCTGTGACACACTATGGTAATAAAAAACATACCACTAATACTCTAATACTATTATGGGCTACATTCTACCCTATTCTATCCAAACTACATTCTACCCTCTATTAGAGATTATTTTATAATTGTTTCCAATCTGCTAGAAACAAGTACACAGCAGCTATTGTCTCCAGCAAGCAGCAGACAATAGATAAGCACATGTTAAAATTTAAAGATCAAAACAGCAAAAAACAATCCATTAAGAACAAACCCATTAGATTTGTGCATATAATAACAAAACTTTCAATACTTTAAAAACCCTATACTTTAAATGCTTGAAAAAAAAATACTTTGCATCAAATATGATTAAACATATTTTAACTGATATCTTTGATTCGGTTGAGCTTGGACTAAATTCTATTTTATTAAAAATTCAAAAACATAATTTAAAATTCAAAACTTAAAACAAATTAAAATTTAATAAAAACTTAAAAAATTAAATACCATTGTGCCAAACATAATTTTACAAGCTAAACACTTTCACTGATATCTTCAATTCGGTTAATCTTTAATTAAATTTTATTTACTGAAAATGTCAAAGGTTGTTATAAGAAAGTAAAACTATAACAGAAAACTACATAAGAGGAAACTATATAACAACAAAGCAGAATTATATGGAAGAAAAAAAAAGGCATTTCGAAGCAAACTCTCTGCTTTCTAATATAAGTAAATTCTTGAAAAAACAATTCATAAGTGGCTCTATATTTTCCAGGAAAAATTTTAATGGGTTTAGATACATCATTATGGATTTTGTACCAATCACTTCACAATTAACGCTCTCATTGAAATAACTGAATCAATTAGAAAAGGTTCTATACATGGTCCTACACTGTTTCTTACTTTATAAATGATCCACCAGACAATCTTACATCAAAATTGGCTCTATTTGTTGAAGATGCAACTATATACTCATGTCTAGACAATAAATCATCACTTTTTGATTGCTTAAACAGGCAGTCAATCTTCAATTTGACCTCTCCTCTGCAACAGCTTTGGGTTTACAGTTCTGTTATTTATTTGTAAACAATTTGTTTACAAGTAAATAACAGAACTGCAACAGAATGGAAGGAGGAGGAGGGAAGGGGGAGGGGGGGCGTTAAATATGCCTCCCCCCCATTATTAAATTTCAGGAAAATTCCCCCCCTCCCCCCGTATATTTAACCACCACCACTTTCCCTTTATTAGATTTTGACTAAAATTCCCACCCATTTATTCCCACCCCCCGTTGTATTCGGCACTCGAGAGTAAGTCATATCTTGATTAAACTCTTCTACAGCTTGTAGTCCAGACAACATTCCTGTCTTAGTCTTACAAATTGTTGTCCAGAACTCACTTTAATTCTCTCTAAACTATTTAATAAGTGCTTGACTGAGCCTTGTTTTCTTGCCTGCTGGAAAATGGGATCTGTTGTTCAAGTTTTCAAAACCTCCAGTAAACTTTCTATCCCCTCTAATTATTGTCCGATCAGACTTTTTTCTGTTATTAGCAAGGTCTTTGAGTCTTTGATCGACAAATTTCTCACAATTAATCTTGAGTCAAATAACATACTGTCAGACACTCAATAGGGTTTTCAATCCTTTCACTCTACGGTTGACTTGCTAACTGCTGTGACTGAAAGATTTTATTATGTATTAGATGGAGGCAGAGAGCCAAGGGCTATTGCAATTGACATGTCCAAGGCTTTCAACAAAGTTTGGGATGCTGGTCTTCTCCATAAGCTTGTTTCATATGGTATATTTGGGAAAGTTTTGAGATTATCAATAATTTCTTTTTAATCACTTTATTAAAGTCATCCTTAAAGGCCACCACTATTTATTATTTTGAGTAACTTCTGAGATACCTCAAGATTCTATTCTTGGTCCTGTTTGTATTCTTATCAACATTTAACAACAACTGAAATTAATGATCTTTGCGACAACCTTACATCTATTAGCTTTTTTTGCTGATGACTCACCTAAATACTCCAGTCTTGACAAAAAGTCTTCTCTTTTCTATCACTTAGAACAGGCAGCCAACCACTTCTGTAAAAGATTTGGGCTCACAGTGGCTTGTAAATTTTAACTTCAACAAAATTCAGTTATTTACTCCAATATTGCAATTAAATAACTATTGCTGTACATATTAATGAATGGCAACCCTCTTACTGAGTTCTATTCTTTACTTCTTGGATTATTGTTTACTGCTGATCTTTCATGGAAACCATATATACAATAAACTGCTAAATTAGCATCCGCTAAGGTTGCTTATCATTATCATGCTTACCATTTTCTCTCTCCTGATTCCATTCTCTACCATTACAAATCTTTTATTCGTCCCTGAATAGAATACTGTTGTCATATTTGGGTTGGTTCTTCTAATGATGCTCTTTCTCTTCTAGATAAGGTCCAAAAATGTATTGTAAACATAGTTGGACTTGCTCTATCTGCTAAGCTTAAGCCTCTTTCTATGTCATAAAGTTGCATCTTTTTTTCCTTTTTACATATACTATCATGGTTGCTGTTCAAAGAAGCTATTATCTCTAGTTTCATCAACTAAAACTCATTCCTGCTTGACTCATCATTCAGCTAAGTCTCATTCTTTTACTGTATCTGTCCCTGCATCCTCTAAAAATTTTTATTCATTTAGCTTTTTTCCCTGCACTTCAACCCTTTGGAACTCTCTCCCATCTTCATGTTGTCCTGATTCATAAAACCTTCAACTTTTTAAGTCTTCTGTCAACCATTTCATTTGCAGTCTTGTTGGGAGTGAATCAGAATGAAAAAAAAATGTATAATAATTTATTAATAATAATTAAATGAAAATATATTTCTGCAATCATTAAGTTGCAAGAAAAATAAATTTGTTTTTTATATAAGAAATTTATGTTATACTTTTAATTGAATATTTTTGTATAGCTTTCTCGATTTATTTTAAAATAATATTCAAACAAAAGGATTTAATAAAAAAATATCCCACTTTACCCTAGCCCTTTAACAACACTCAAAATTCTGTTTCTAATTTAATTTTTAGAGAAAAATGTGTGCTTTAGACATTTTAGAAAAAATTGTGCATTAGACATAACAGCATTAAAAACAAAGCCACTTGAGATGAATTCTAATTGCAAATATAAAACAATATAACCACTGTCTTTATCTACCTTGCAATAACTAAAAAGAAAAAATTCTGAAACATCAATAATAAAAATCGTAAATTAAAAAAATAAGTAAATTAAAATCATAAATCTCTTCCTATATTTATAATTATACATAACATCTTTGTTGAAATAAAAATACAATATTAATTAATACTAATCAATAAACAATTATAAAAGATATATGAAACAAATATCTTTTAAATTTACAGAAGATTATGACTGGCAAAAACCTTATAAATAAAATAAACTAAAGTGTAGCTATGCTATGAACAAAACAAAATGACATACAACTACCTGGATTTTTATCATCAGTCACTTTTATTTTTTTTTCTTGTTGATATAAATAATAATTCATTTATGATTTAACAGATTTAAAAAAAAATCACCTTAAATACTGGATCTCTGCCAGCTTAACTTGCAATTGTGCTTCTTTTGTGCCTGCACGTTTTTTAAACAAATCCAAAACAACACGATATCTATCAAATATTTTGCAACCCAATGCTGATTGAAGTTCTTTAATTTGTTGGGATGTAAGTTTTCCAGTGTTAATGAACACTGCTGTAATTTCTCCAGATTCAACAAGCTTTTTAACATGGTCAGATATCTCATTTAATTTCCCTGAACCAAAAAACAGTTTTGGATTATCTTCATGTATAGATTCAATACGAGTGGAATTTACCTTCCAATGTTCAATGCTATTTATAAGTGCCTCAGCTTCTTCAAGTCGACTTTCACATAGTTTTGTTAAATGTCTGTGTTTACCCCATTTAAAGTTTGGTTGTATTATGTAAACACGTTCTTTTTCGTTAACTTCTGATAAATTATTTGTATGCTGGTATGCAAGTTTAACATTCAATGATTTCTCATCAGTTGAAGTTTCCAAAGCATTGTAAATAAATGGACTCTCCTTTTTAAGCCTAAAATCATTCTTTGAAGCATTTAAGATATCTTTATTGCTTTTTTTAAGATTAGGGTGAAATACTGAAATAGATTTTTTGAAATTAATTGTTTTAACAATTTGATTCCATTTTTTAAACATTTTGCTTTTGTTTTATTATTTTCCTAAATTCAACAATTATATCAGCTAAATTAACAAACTGAAAAATATAAAACATAATACAATTATAAAAAAATATAGTTTCTTTTTTTTTAATTTTTGTTTTAGGTGTCCCATAAAGGCCTTACGGTCTTATCACAGAGCACCACAGAAGAGAATTTAAATAGGAAGTTCATGCCTCCTTCCTTACCAATAGCACTAAATATGTCCAGAGCTCGCTTTGAATACTAAACTTCTTGTTTATAAAGCAAGCCTTTTAACCACTGTGCCAGGACTGCACTAGTTGCAAAGCTGTATTATGTATATTATATATATAGTCATATTATTTTTTAAAAAGTAATAAATCAACATAATCAACAATCAGTTTAATTGGTAAAAAAAATTAATTATTTTTACTTTTTTTTTTCTTCATACTTTTGTAATTCTTTATTTACAACAAAAACTTGGTTTTGATTTTTGGCAAGGTTATCTTTATAACAGACCTTGCAATCTGGCAATTAAACGGAGAGACTGGAGGCTGATTTTTTAGCAGAAATTTGAAAGCTATTAAAAATTTTTATACTTCGAATGCAATATGCCTCGAAAGTGTTGTGTTGCTTCATGCTCATCTAACTATGACAAAAAGAATGAAAAATACGTATCTGTTTATCGCTTACCTAAAGACAAAGATGAAAGTTTGCAACTGATAACTGCAATTACAAGAGATAATATTCCTGATTCAAAATATACTGTGGTATGCTCTAAACATTGGCCTGAAAACATTGATTTGATAATGATTAATGGTAAGAAATGACCAAAAGTATCTTTAACAATATTTCATAACATTAACTTAAGTTGAATTCCAACAGCACCAGCAAAACCACATAAAACAACTCGAACAAGTTTATCAGTGATAAATATTTAAGAGGATGAAATTAACATTTTGAATGGTGCAGATAACTTAGAATTTAGTGACATTATGATAAAGGTTGAAACTGAACAACCAACCAGTTCTAAGTAACAAGTGTAATGATGAGAGTTACATGAGGATGATTGTCTTACAATCAAAAGATTTTATTCAAGAAACTGGAGTACCATGGTGAGGAACATTCTAATTATCTAACTTTTTAGTTTTTATAACAATATATTAGGTGCTATATGAAAATATATTCTAGTTTTTACAATAATATATTCTACTTTATGACATGAAAAACATTGCTTTTCATGTCATTAAGTAAAATCACATATAAAGTCCTAATTTCATGAAATACATATCAAAATAATAATACTATAATAGCAATCATTGTTATTACAATATTACTATTATTATATTTTCATAAATTAAAGACTTTTTATTTCGTTCTACTTTATGTTGTAACCATATGACTAATTTTTTATTTATAACACCTTTTTAGATTTTTTCTTTAGATTAAAAGTGATTTAAGATATACAGCATTTTATATGGGTTCACAGTGTTTTATTTCAACACTTTCACAAAACCGAATAAGAGTAATAGATAAATTTTCTATTTTATCTGAAGCAGATAGTTTTTTAAGAAGTAATATTTGCAATAAGAAGTACCACGGTTGGAAAACCTTTGTACTCACCAGATATTATTGTTCAAGCCTTTGAGTTTATGGCTGTACCTCAAGTGTTATATAAGTGTTTAAGAAATGTCTTTCAGCTAAAATATTTAAAGAAATTGACCTCAAGGGCAAATAAACTTGATACTGTATCTTTAATTTCCAAAATATTTCACAGTTTTTCTAAACTGTGAAATGCATTATAATGGTTGATGAAATATAAATTAAAGCAACTGTCACATTTCAGTGGGAAAAATCTATGGTCATGCTCAGGATAACCCAGAGAAGCTTGCCAAAACATTCCTTGCTGTAATGGTTAAATGCTTATTTTGAGGACCAACATTTATTGTTAGTATGGTACCAGTGTCTAATTTAGGCTCCGATTTCCAATACAGTGTTGTTGCTAATGTAATTGAGTCTATTGAACAATCCAGTGGAAAAGCTATTTCTGTAATTTGCAATAACAATCAATTAAATAGACATTTTTTTAATCTTTTTGATATGCCTTGGAGAACTAAAACAAATACATTTTTGTTATGTCCATTTATGGAAGAATATACATAACAATTAGCTTACCGAAAAGACTAAAGACTAAATTTCGATTTGGTGAAGCTGAGGAGTTAGTTGCAGATTGGAAAGATCTTGAGAAACTGAGATTGTTAGAATTAAACTCGCTTATTACATTATCTTGTCTAAATGAGGTAGCCATATCTCCAAAGCCTGTAGAAAGACAAAATGTGAAACTAGTAATGCGTGTTTTTTGTGAAGAAACCCTGACAACTTTGAAAACAAACCAAGCTATAAATCAGGAGCAAGTTAAAGGTACTGTTGCTTTTCTGCAAATTTTTATTGATGCATGGAAAACTATATATGTACAAAGAATGTCTGATAATGTAAGATTGCAAGATTCTCTGCAAGATGTCATTCAAAGCGCTAAAGACAATCGACTACAACATTTACAACAGAAATGTGCAAAAATATTGGTGCAAAAAATGGTAAAAGTAAAATAAAAAACTCTAACTTTGACAACAGCAGATGCATCTCACACATTAAGTGGTTTAATATACTTAACTAGCCTTTTACTTGAAAATAGTCAAGATCATCAATTCATTATGCTTGGTGATTTTTCAACTGATCCTTTAGAGAAAGCCAACTGATCCTTTAGAGAAAATTCATATTCAACATGCTTTATTACTACTAAGATTTAATGCAGACTTTTATGACTCCTTAAAGCATCATTTTTGTGATGGATGTCTTCGACAGCTAACCGAAGAAGAGAGTGAGATTTATATATACTAGAATGTCCCAAAATGACATGACTTTTTATAGTTTTTAACTATTTTCAGATTTTCAATCAGTTTTATATGCATTTTTATCTACTAAAAGCAACAACAACAACAACAACAACAAAATTTCATATTTGACCCCCCCCCCTTACTGCCGCTCTTTTTTTAAATAATTTTCTTGTGTAATTTTATTTAATAAAATTTAATCAATTGTTATTTTTAAAAAAAACATTCATATTTGACAAATCCCCCTTCCCTCCCTCATAAACCCTTTAATGTGTTGTTGTCCTAAAACAATCTTTAATATACTCCTTTTATAGATCTATTATTTATATCCAATATAATTAACTGTCATTATAATTTCAAATAGTTTTGTAATAAATAAAAATAAAAATTTATTATAAATAAATTTTCACCTGGTTTATGAGCCACCCTCCCTCCCCCATTCTTTCTAATAATACCCTTGTCGTATGTTTTTTTTTTGCCTAAATATGGAACTTTATAAATTATTATTTTTAATTAAAACAAAAAACTTGATAAATACTCAATTATTGAACAAAAAAGCAAAGAAATGATTGGTATAAGTTAATAATATTAAAGAACAATGGGAGTAAGTACTAAGAAATTCAAAATCTCATTTTTTTTAAATTGTAACAACAAAATAACAATATTTTAAAGGTAAAAATAAAAAAGAGATTGTTTAAAATATATATAACTTTGGGAATTTTACCAACCAACCACTGTCCTCATTTGAATATCCGAATAAATTTAGAATGTTACTTGATTTTGGTCTAATTAAACCAGTCAAACAAGTACTCTGCTTCAGAAGAGGAAATTGTGGAAGCCTATATCATGTTCACAGTTTTTTTTTATATTTTTCAGAATTATTTTAGCAGTTTTAGTTTTATCATGATCAGATACCATATCAGAAAATAATGAAAATTAATTTGGTTAATTACCAAAGATGCCAATTAAATGTTTCCAGGACAGCAACAACAACATCATTGTCAATTTTTTTATAAATAAGCATTTCTTTGTAGAATTCCAAGTCATTTAATGGGGCATCGACTGCGCTTGAGCACGTAA